ATAAGGGAGACATTTTCTACTTATAATCCCACTGAAAAGTATACCTCCAGTAGGACAGCGATACTTATTTTATCTGTCCTGGGACAACCACTAACTGTTACATGTGAAATTTCAACATTTGTATCTCAGGTTGGATCTGTCAGGATTCTTGTTTATTGCAAGACAGAATGCGAAGAACTATAGGCTCCACCACTGTTGAATGACTGTAGTGTAGGGTTACCATACGTCCGGATTTTCCCGGACATGTCCGGCTTTTTGGGATTTCCCCCCGGACGGGGATTTGGAGTCCAAAAAGCCGGACATGTCCGGGAAAATCCGGACGTATGGTAACCCTACTGTAGTGTGGATCATTACTAACAACTGAGCATGTATTCAGCAAGCTCCTAGATCTGCCTTAAGAGCAGCCCTCTAGAATTGTTAGTGAAGACTTATTTACCCATATTTAGTCCTTAATGATTAATCTCTAGCCATATCCAGAGAATCTGGACGAAGGGATACAACAACTGTAAATGCATTAGTCTCAGTGATGAACTACAGGCAGTAAAGTCCACTTGCACTGGTCATAGGCCAACACTTATGTTTTCTGGATTGCTTCCTCAACCTTCCTGTGTAGCAGCTCCAATTAATTTAGGCAAAAATTTTCAAAATTTGGGTGCCTAAGGACAAGCTCATAAATATGGATTTAAAGTTTTGGCCATAGTGCCTTGAGCGGCTTCTGACAGATCTTACGATAAAGCCTATCCCACTTCCTTTGCTTCAACCACTTGTAGGGAGTCCAATTTTGCTTCAGCAGGCAGTCAGGCTTCTGTAAACATCGACCAGAGGGTTGTTATCCCCTTTTTGACTCCATTAACATACATCCAGTCACATAATTTGGAGAGGCAGGATAGTCTAGCGTAATGAATATGGGAGTGGGAGTCAGATCATCGTAAACTCCAATTCTGGCTGGGTTACTGGCTGTGTGTGTGTGTGTATTTGGACAAGTCACTTTACTACTTTGTCTCCAGTTCCCATCTTTAAAATCATAGAAATGTAGGGCTGGAAGAGAAGTCAGGTCATCTAGTTTAGTGCTGAGGCAGAACCAGGTATACCTCCTAGACCATTGAGAATACTGACATATTTAAGGAGGGTGTTGCAATATTTGTAAAGAGCTCTATAAAAGTATACACCAAAATTTCATAACCAACAGGGTAAGAGATCTAGAAAATGGAACGTCTCCAGAACAAAAAGCTGATAGGATATGCAGCATCAAATCTAAGCAGACTCTTCAAATTTAGATATCCCTAATTCTCCAGAAGTCAATGGAACAGTTAATACTGCCAAATTCCAACAGTGACAAGGGGTGAGGTAATATATTTGAGAAAGCTTGTCTCTCTATCCAATAGAAGTTGGCCCAAAAGATATTACCTCACCCACCTTGTAACTCTAATATCCTGGGACCGATACAGCTATAACAAAATTCCAAGAATGTAACATAGTTAAGTAGAACAGATTTGAAGGCAAACCAAGAAGAGCATTAAGAAACTTACAGCAACACAATACTGTGGGCCCAATTCACCCATACCCAACCCTTTGGGTAGTCACACCAGTGCAAAGTATTACCAAACTCAGAATGATAGTGTTTTACACCCACTCTGCACTGATCCAAATGTCTACAGGGAAATGGTGACTCAACAGTCTTTCCTCAGAGAATAAGGTCACAATAGATGTCTTTAAAAAAAAAAAATCTAAGGATATAGAAAGCATCAATCTATGCCTACAATACAAGTTGGTGTCACAATTTCTAATGTGGCACGGTTGTGATTTATAGTGAAAGGTGCTTATGGAAGCTAAGCATCAATTAGACACCACACATTAAGGCTACCATCAAGCAGGATATAGCTGAGGTAATTTATACAGCTTTAAAGAGAGTATCAAAGAAATAAAAATAGCAATCCTTTACTGCTGCATACAAATTAAGCTTAAAAAAAAACTGATCTAACAAGTCTTCCATATTGCATTCTTTTTTTAAAGTAATACAAAAGCCAATTTTGAAAATCACTACAAACATGCAGCCACAAAAAGTTAATATAAAAATACTGAAAATATGAAGATTGTAATAAGCCTACAAAAAAAGTTCCAGTTAAAAAGTTAATGGTATTCCTTCTTTAGTTCCAAAAGGATCTTCAAGAAAATAGTTACAGGGAATTATGTGATCTCCTCTAAATTTGAATTTTCTTGTTTTTATTAACTCCTGTTACAAGCTTTTAAGATGTATTTTATTAAATTCTCTCATTTAGAGTAGTAAATAAGCAGTCACCTGAAAGATCAGATTAATGTTCTGGTGAGCACTATTTAAAAAAACAAAACAACACACACACACACACACACATCTATGTTTAGGTACTCATGAGACCAGAACAGTTTCATTGGAGTTCTTCTAGTCTATCGGATAAATGGCTTTTTTAGTTTAAACATGAAACATATAAAGTCAGCATAACACAACAGCCCCTCTAAATCCAAATTTAGGTATCTCAGTGTATAATCATGTTAAGTGTATCTTCACTGAAAGCTATGAAACACATGACTGCATGAAAAATGGAGCTAGTGATTTATCTGTGAAATTCCCAGGAGTGTGGTGGTTGTTGGGAGAAGCACAAAGGTCTTGAAACTGCAGACATAGGTAAATAGTGTGTTGTAATAAGTTTAGCAAGCGATAACACAAACCTCAAAAATAGACAAGTGAGTGACAAACCACATTCCATATTGAGTTATGGCATGTTCAGAACCAGAGAATAGAAGGGTATCTTTTGGATGGTGTAGGGAAGAGAATTGACCAGCTTCCCCTAACATCTGTATGAAAATAAATAAAAAAAAACTCTAGTGTCACTGCAGCAAATCTTTAAATACTAATACCTTACAATTTTGTATTAATGAACATAAATTACATTCCCCCAGGAGACCCAAATTCATATCATGCCATAAAGGGGTGGGGGGAGGATGCAAAGTATTTGTTGTTTTAGAAGGAGCCTTAATGGAGTTCAAACACATTGACTCCAGTACAACTGTTAGTTTCCCCCC